GGCTCTTGACTGGCTGGCAGACTGACCACCTCTGTCGCTGGGAGGAGCAGGAGGGCGGCAGGGGTGACTGGGGGGGGGCCGTCCCTTTACTTGTGTGCAGTTGCGCCAGCAGATCCCGCGCCTGCTGCCCGTGTGCCAGGCTGTTGACGGGTGCAGCAGAGCGGCGTGGCGGCGATCACCCTTGCTGTCGCCCGCTGCGCCTTCCTATCTCAACAGCATGTCTGCCCTGCATGTATGCCCCTGCGTATTCTTTCCACCGCTTAGCCCTAATAATGCGCTCATCTCGCAGTTGTTTGTCGCCCGACGCCTGCTGAAAGGTCCTGCGGTCCCAGCGCACAATTAACACGATGCCGACGCGCACGCATGGCGGCTTTCTATTGTCCGCCGCCGCCCTGGCGGCGGGTCCCGTCCCATTGCACTCCCGGCTCTTCCTGTGTAAGCAGCCCACACCCCGCACAATCAGCACCATTTGGGAGGGCTGGAGACATCCTCAAGGGGCCACAACCGGCCACAGCACGCATCCAGCTCACACGCGCGCGTCCACGTCACATGCATGCTTCCACGTCACACGCACGCGTCCAGCTCACACGCATGCATCCAGGTCACACGCATGTGTCCAGCTCACACGCATGCATCCAGGTCACATGCATGCGTCCAGGTCACAGGCATGCACTCGCTGCTGCTGCCGGCACAGAATTTGCATAGCCTTTGGAGAGCGCCAGAGGCGGCGGCGGTGGCGGCAGGAGGTGGTTGGGGGGGCGACTGAGGCATTCAATGTTGCCGCTCGCATAGGAGGCCCACCGCACGCTGCCGCCAAGGAACACACTTCTTTCGCCCCTGCCTGCGGCAATGCACGCGTTGTTACCAGAAGTGGCGAGGGCCGCATTCCGGAGATGCCGCACGGTGCATTGGTGGCCTCCGCAGCAAGAATCGACAAACATGTCAAATGAGAGCGCGCTGGCGCGATGCGGCGCGGGGGCGCTCAAGCCGCCGCCGCCGCCATGCTCCCGCTGCCGCCACTGCCGCCATGCCGCTGCCGCCGCTGCCAGCCCTGCACATTCTCGAGAGGCCGCATCCAGGACCATGCATCCAGGTCACATGCACGCGTCCAGGTCACATGCACGCATCCAGCTCACACGCGCGCGTCCACGTCACATGCATGCTTCCACGTCACACGCACGCGTCCAGCTCACACGCATGCATCCAGGCCACACGCATGCGTCCAGCTCACACGCATGCATCCAGGTCACATGCATGCGTCCAGGTCACAGGCATGCACTCCCTGCTGCTGCGACACCCAAATGCACCCTTGCTTAGCGGCAGCCGAATGCCCTTGTCTAGCAGCCTGTAAGGTTGTCGTGTGTGTGGAGAAGCAGGCAAGCATGAGAATGTCAGCAAAAGATTACATGCAAATGTGCATTTGAATGTGCATTCTGTGAAATAAATAATAAGTCGAGAATGATGCGCGGTGTAAATAGGCATTGCAAGATAAGAGATGCGTTCACCCAGAGTCGTCCACAATTCGACAGGTTCCTCATCATGAGTTGTTATGGTGTCCAGGGAAGGCCACCTGGAATGTTCAGGAGGGTAGCATGCCAATCCGAACGTCATAGGCCAGACACTTGAGCGTCTCGCTACAGCAACAAAAAAGCAGGCTCAAAAAACGACGTGCGCGCCCTGCCGCCGTGGCGCCACCTCCGCGCCATGTCGTGCGGTGCCCAACACCCCCAGGGCAGCTCAGCATGCCCTCAACTCACCCCAGTTGACGAGCTGATCAACCTTGCTCACAACAAACTGACCCTTACTGGCAGCAGCCATTGTGCCCTGCAGCCGGGGAGGCGCATGGCGGCGGCGCCGAGGGTCGGGCGGCGACCAGGCGGGGAGAGGGTGGGGCGGCGCACGGGCAGGAACTGCTCCCATGCTCATCTGCAGTGTCATCATCGACTCACATCCTACACGGTGATCGTGGTGCGACGGAAAGAGGCGCGGTCCCCAGGGGAGCGACTCCTGGGGCTGCATCGGGGAGATGCCAGGCGGGGCCGCCCTACCATGCCCACAGACGGTTTACACTTCGACTGTGCTGTCTAATGATCGCGGGGAGATGCGGCGGCCGGCGGCCGGCGGGAGAGGGATGTACCGGCGCGGGTACGCGTACAAAGCTGCAGCTGGTGCCAGGCGTTTTCTTCGAGGGTCTGGGCAACCCCGAGTCTTGTTGCAGCCACAGGCAGTGGCCGTGCAGCTGATCCACCCCACCAGGCAGCGACAGCAACCACCCCACCGGCCTCTCTTCGCAGCTGCAGCGCCAAGCTATGGCGCTGCCACAGGCAGTCGAGGCCCCCGACGGAAGGGGCGACGCAACAGAGGCGGCCGCGCCGTCGCCGGCCGCAGCCTCCGACGAGCAACAAGCGGGGCAGTGGAGGGAGGTGGCCAAGCGAGACTCGGAGGAGCTCAACCCCTTGTGAGTCCAACCTCACACGCAAAGTGGGGCATGGCTGGATTGCAAGCCAGTTTTGTGTGGCAGGCATCATGTCGGTGCTCACTGGCTGCCTTCCCCTTGACCGGCCTTCCCCTTGACCGCAGGAGCCTTGCCCACCTGTTTGCATGCGACCCCGAGTGCGCTGCCAAGAACAAGGAGCGGCAACAGCTGTCAAGGGCACTGCAGTTTGCGGGATCGCAGCTTGATCACGAGCTGGAGCTCAAGAAGCTGCAGGTGAGGAGCCAGTTGAGGCAGCCCTAGTCGGGGCGGCACCGTTGCCCCTCTCAGCACAGACCGTTGGCATGCACTATGCATGCATTACCTGCCATTCCTCCTCACCCCTGTACCTCCTTACCCTTCTGCCACAGGTTTTTGTGCGCATTCGACCGTCGGTGGCGGCGGGGGCGCCGCACCCGGGGTGGGAGCCCGAGAACTGCGTACATGCCACCTCCAAGTGCTCCATCGCCATTGCGCCACCACGAGGCAGCCAGGCCTACAAGAGTGGCGACCGGGGGCAGACCTATTCCTTCTCCCGTGTCTTTGACTGCGACACCAGCCAGCAGGCGTACTACGAGCAGACGGCAGCGCCGCTGGTGGGTCGGGCTATGCGCAGGAGCCGGCAGCATGTTGTGGACCGCACCTTGGCTGCTGGATGGACCAGCGCCTGCTCATGCGCCGCCCCTGCCACTGCCCCCCCAACCGCCAGGTGCGCGACCTGCTGCGCAACAAGCAGCACAACAGCGTGATGATGGCGTACGGCATCACGGCGGCGGGCAAGACGTACACGATCGAGGGGACGGGGGAGCAGCCGGGGGTGATGCCGAGGGCGCTGGTGGAGCTGTTTGAGGGGCTGGGCAGCCATGCAGAGCCCATCGTGGCACGCGCCTCATACTACGAGGTGGGTGGGGCAAGTGGATGCTTGATGGTGCGGGGCTTAGTCACTGCAGGGTGGCTGTCGTTTGATGGTTTGGGCGAGTGCCTGGTCGGTGCCCAGGTGGCGGCCATCGCTGCTCACTGCAGTTGTGCGCTTTCCCTTCCCCTTCTGACACTCTCAGGTGTACAACGAGCAGATCTATGACTTGCTGGAGGAGCAGGGGCCAGGGCTGCCACTGGGGCCGCGGCCCACGCTTCGCCTTAAGGAGGACACCATGGGCCGCGTGTTTGTGGCGGGGCTGTCAGAGGTGCGGGCAGGGGGTGTTTGTGCATGAGTGCATGGGTAAAACGGCCAGCCCAGGTTCCTGGCACGCCTTCCGTTGCCCTCATCGGCAGACTGCTGCTCCACTTCCTCGCAGGTGGAGGTGAGCAGTGCCAGCGAGGCGCTGGATCAGCTGCGGCGGGGCTCCCGCCAGCGCCAACGCGCCGAGACGGGGCTCAACTACAGCTCCTCCCGCTCACATTCCATCTTCACGGTGGGCGGCCTGGCTGGCTGCCTAAGCGTACTGCGTAGCTTACCCTCCACATTGGCTGTGACCACAAATGATGTGTGTGGCAGGATGTCACGCTGACAAGACAGCCCTTAAGTCTGGCTGCCATGCCGTGCCCTCCTGCTCCTTGCGCCGCAGGTGACGCTCTACCACCAAGGCCTGGCGGTTCACGCATCGGAGGGGACCGACGGCAGCGACGCTACGGATGAGAAGGAGGCGGAAGCGGGCGAGGAAAAGCTGGGACACATTTCGTTTGTGGACCTGGCGGGATCTGAGCGGGCACAGCGCACTGGAAATGTGGGAGTGCGCCTCAAGTGAGCCGCTTCCTTTTGCAAACTGGAGGGCACGGCTGGAGGGCACGGACAGGCGGCGATGACAATGCTGGGCATGTCCCCCAAACACAGATCAACGGTGGCTGAGGGTGCGCTGTGGTGCTGCAGGGAGAGCGTGGCGATCAATAGCAGCCTGATGACGTTGGGGCGCTGCCTGGAGGCGTTGCGCTGGAACCAGCAGCACAAGGGCAGCACCAACCTGCGCGTGGTACCGTACCGTGAGAGCAAAGTCACCCACCTGTTCAGGCGAGGTGCCGCAACTGATTTGGGGTCTCGACATTGCGCACTAGCAGGCCTGGCAGTGCATGCCTGTTCTAGCCGAGCCTGCAATCAACAAGGAGCTTGTGTGGCTGGTGGGAGGTCGTGCAGGGATGCGCTGCACGGCTGGGGCCAGGTCATCCTCAGCGTCAATGTGTCGCCTGTGTCCAAGGATTATGATGAGACCGCGCATGTCCTCAAGGCAAGGGCGGCCAGCGCGGTTATGCAGTTTTGCCAGATTGAAGTGAGAGTCCCGAGGGCATGGCTCATCTGTCGTCTATGTTTGCTCAACTGAGTGCAGTATGCAGCGCTGGCCACCCAGATTGGCACCATTCAGCAGGCTGAAGCGCCCCGGCGCACCATCAAGGCCGTGTCGCCCGCCATCAAGAAGGTCAAGCGCAAGGCGGCGCTGCCGGCAGAGGCGCGCGGGCAGGGCGCCAAGTGAGTTGCCAGCCTGCGCCTGCAGCATCTCAACGATCGTATCAGCGTGTCGCACGTGCTGCAAACTCGGCAGCGCACGGCGGTGACCCCCTTGCCTTGCATGCAGGGCGAAGAAGGCAAAGAAGGCGGATCCAGCGGCGCCCACTGTGACCGACCTTGTCGCTATTCCAGAGGAGACAGAGCTGGCTGCCGAAGGCACCCATGGGTCGGAAGGCTCTGGGCCTACTGGACATGCTGCTGTGGCGCCGGAAGGTGCCACCAGCACAGGACAGACAATGGACCGGCTCGGAGAGGAGGCTGGCGAGGGGAAGGACATGGCAGCTGCTGAGGATAGCGGCGGCTTGGGCGAGGTGGAGGCGGGGACAGAGGATGGTGAACTTTATGATGGCGAGTTTGGCACGCCTTCCACGCCCCTGGCAGAAGAGGACGAGGCATCGGCGGCCCTGCAGGTAAAGCGGCGGCACTTGCTCACATGCATCACCCCCATGCAGCAGCATCCTGCCCAGCTCCATGTGCTCTGGCCACCAGCCACAGCGCGCATCATTCTCCTGTGGGCCATGCATACTGCAGGCCCAGGTGCAGCAACTGATTGCAGAGCTGCAGAAGGCCGAGGAGCGGTGTGTGCTGCTGGAGGCTGAGGTGCGGGAAGAGGTAGCAGATGAGATGGCGCAGGTGAGAAGGGGACGCAGTCCCATCGTTTACTGCTGGCGGGCAGGTGATACAAACACGTGGCGAGGCATTAGCGGGCGAGGTGTGGCCTTTGTGCCGCTACTGCCCCTCACCGCCTGCCGTATGCACATGCCGCCTTTACTTGCAGCTGCTTCGAGACATGGAGGAGAGCTACCGGCAGCGGCTGGAGGCGGAGGTGGCTGCGCTAGAGAAGAAGCAGCCCGGCAGGGGCGCTGGGGCAGGTGCCGCCGAGGGTGGCAGGCGAGGCAAAGGGCGGGGTGGCAAGGCAGGCAAGGACGAGCCCACCCCCGACGCCAGCGCTCTACAGCTGGCTGCTGCACGAGGCCAGGCAGCCCAGGCGATCGCCGAGGCGGAGCAGCTGCGGCACCAGGCTGCCGCAGCCGCGGCGCAGCTGGAGGAGGCCCACCAGGAGCTGGCCAAGCTGCAGGAGCAGGCGGAGCAGCGACAGTCGCAGGCAGCAGAGCATGCCGCAGGCCTGGCGGCAGAAGTTGCAGGTGCTCGGCAGGCAGCGGCGCTGGCGCAGGAGCAGCTGGCGGCAGAGCACACACGTGTCGCTGGGCTGGAGGCTGAACTCGTGGCTGTTCGGCAGCAGGCAGATGAGGCACAGGCCAGCCTTGCCACCGAGCGGCAGCGGACAGGCTCACTAGACGCGGAGCTGATGGCGGCCAGGCAGCGGGCGCAGGAGGCGCAGCGCCAGGCAGAGGGCGCCCAGCAGCAGGCAGCTGCCCTGGAGGCAGAGCTGTCGATGCTGCGCCAGTCGGCGGACAGCAGCCAGCTGCAGGCCTCTGAGCAGTACGAGGCGCAGCTGCAGGAGGCGGTTACGCAGATCGAGGTGGGCAGGCAGCTGCCGCATCGCCGCCCTGCATTGCTAGGGGTCAGGGCAGGCAGGGCTTGCCAGCTGCCGGCACCGTTTCCAGCGCTGGTGTCACAAGCTGCCGAGCAGCCCACCGACTGGCTCCCTCCTGCCGTGTGCCCACTGGTTTCCCGGCCTCCAACCACCACCCGCATGCAGGCCAACCGCGGCATGGAGCTGGAGATGGCAGAGGAGCAGGGGGAGCGGCTGCGCAAGGAGAACCTGGCCTTGCAGCGGCGCCTGCAGGGGGCGCTGGCGGCGCTGGCAGCTTGCGGCTCGCCGGTGACGGGCCCAGGAGGCCTGGCGGCCCGTATGGCCCAGGCTGCGCCAGAGGGCAATGGTAGGGGGGCAGGAGGCACGCCTCACGACGTCGCCCTAGCCCGTGCTCGGCAGGCGGCAGCGGCAGATGACCTGGCGGCAGCTGCGGCGGCGGCAGCTGCGGGAGGGACCACGCAGCCCAGGAGCCGCAGCCGTTTTGCCGAAGAGGCAGAGGCCGGCGGCAACGTGACTGAGGAGCAGGCGGCAGCCAAGGCGCCACTGACTGCGCCTCCGACTGTGCCAGAGGAGCGGCAGCAGCAGGACGCCGCCAAACCTGCGCCTCGGCCACGAGGCAGGCCCAGAAAGGTGGCGTTTGCTGTCCCGCAGCAGCCCCAGGACGAGGCGGGGGCGGTAGCAGCTCATGAGAAGCAGCGGCCGGAGGAGCAGCAGGTATTGCCGGCAGCTGCAGCAGCCCCGGCAGAGTCGCGGCGAGTGCGGCGCATGACGCGGGCTGCTGCCGCTGCGGCACCAATCGTCGGCATCGAGCCCATTGCACCTGAACCGGCTGCCGACGAGCCTGCAGCAGCCATTGAGCAGGCCAAGGCCAGGCACGGCTGCCGCCGCACGCAGGCGGCACCACCAGCAGCAGAGCCGGCTGGTGGGGTGCCGCCTGTCGATGATGTATCGGCAGCTCCACAGATAGAGCAGCAGCCCAAGCATGGGCCTGCCGCGCCGCTGTGTGATGTGCCGGAGGATGAGGATGTGCCGCTGATGGCCAGCGTGACCTTTGAGCAGGGCCCTGCAGCCACCGCCCAAGCGGTGGTGGTGCCGGCAGCGGCAGTGGCCAAGCTATCGATGCAGCAGCGGCGCAGGGGCAGGTGCGCCAAGGGCTGGGGTGCTGGGGCAGTGACATGTGGGCCTCGACGGGTGGTGATGCGCTGCCAGGCGCGTCACAACTGCATCTGCCAAACGCATCACTTTCACTTCCTTGACCCCAGGACTCGTGCCAACAAGGAGAACAGCGGCAGGCAGTCGGCACAGGGGCTGCCGGGCGCTAGCAAGCCATCTGACATGTTAGAGGAGCTGGCGGGCGGCAGGCGGCGCAAACGGCTTCTGCCCGGCGCACCCATGAGCACCGAGATGCGGGCGGCGCTGGGAGAGACTGAGGACTCGCTCTCGCTGCGGCAGCACGTGGCAAAGAAGCAGGCAGCTGGCGGCACTGCCCCTGAGGCGGGCGGCAAGCGCAGCCGCAGGCAGACGCAGTTCTTTAGGCTGTGAGCTGATTGTTGTATTGTTGTATTGGTTGACGTCCAACTTTTCATCAGGGACTGAACTGCGCATTGCATGCTGTTTTGTGCACACAATTACAATGGAGGGGCATACAACGATGGTCCTGGGTAAAATTCATAGGCCCTCAATGGCTGGCCTGCTGCAGACAGCGATGCAAAATTCATACGCCCTCATCACTCCTGCTTGGAGTTGGATGGCAACCCACAGTTGTCCCGGACGGCCAGAAACATGGCGCCCCAATCCAGCGATCCGCCGTGTCTGGCCTTGGTTTGCAGGAGATGAATGTATGCAACATCGGCCCAAGGCAGCGGGCAGGCGGAGTCGGCAGCCCGGGCACGGATGTGCCCCAAGTCTTTTGAGCCCAAATCTATGGCAAATCCAGTCTGCCAGGGCCACAAAGAGCGGTTATTCCTATCACCTTGAAATCTCCCGGGCCCACTCGGCACAGGGCACACCCTGGACCCGCCGCCCGCCCACTCCTGTGGAGTAGCCGCCCGCACCCATGCGACGGGCATAGCCGATGGGGATTGGAGAGGGCAGGAACGTTTCCAGCATTGTCAGAACGGCACTGTCTGCAAAAACACAACAACAAACCTTCTGGCCATCAGCCATTTGGAGCTGCAGTGGTGCATACACCGTGTGCTCACCCTCGATGCCATTCTTCGCGCCCAGCGCCAAGCACTCGGCTGCCACCTCGATCTGGCTCGAGATCCAGAAGTTGCTGCATAACACAAGAAAAAGTATCAGGGGCAGAACTGCACAATGTGGGGCCACGGAAGGTGGCATGCTCCAGCTCAGCTACACGGCCGCCGGCCCCCCCATGCCACCCACCCAATTAACTTGAACGAAGCGGATGTAGCAGGGTCTTCCCCAAGGTCCCACACCCCGCGCCCAGCAAAGGCTGGCAGCAGAGGGGCCAGCGCCTGCCTGGCGGCAGCAGGGCCGGCCGGCACCGCCACCAGGGAGCCAGTCGCCGCGGCATCCGGCCTGCCAAACACAGACATGTTGACGAACTCGACGCCAGCCTTGGCAGCTGCCGCAGCCTGCCGCTTCACCGTTGCCGGCAGCAGCGTGGCGGCGTTGACATAGATGGCTGGATGACTGGCACCGTCAGCGGCTCGGGCGGACAGGTAGTCTCCCAGGACCTTTGGCAGCACACACCAAAGAGCAGCAGCTGTTTGATTTGTGAAAATACGCATCAAGTCAGTCTCCTCTTCACCATCCGCAGGCCCCATGCATGCCTCACCGCATCGGCGGCTGCATCGTTGGCCAGCAGCGAGAACACAATCTTCGCTGGGACCACCTCTGCCACTGTGGCGACGGCAGTCACGCCCGGTGTCTCGTGGGCGAATCCCTGCGCCGTGGCGGTGGTTCGGTTGTACACCACAAGGGGACCAGAATAGCCAGGTGCCTTCCCTGAGCCCAGCCACTCTGCCAGCTTGGCGGCCACCCCCTGCATGCAGCACCCGTTAAAGGAGGTTGATGGCGGCGCTCTGGCGGCCACTTGGACGAGGCGGGAACCCGCCGCCCAGCTGCCCGGGGTCCATCACGCTTCTCTGAGCCCCGAACGCAGCATACCTTGCCCATTCCTCCAAGGCCTATGAAAGCCACTTGCGGAGCCATGTCTGAGTCGGACCCGTAAATTTCCTGGACCTACTGGTTGTTGCTGCAGGTTTGGGTCATTTCACTCTCGGGTGCAGAGAGGCTGACGGGTGCCGTGCCTGTGACACCGGGGTGGCTGCCAGCTGGCACAGGCTGGCGCGGGAGCCGGCTCCCACCCATTTGCACAGCCCCCACCCTAGTGAGCATGTATCGGCTGTAAAGTTGAAGACAGTGCATCGTCTGTGATAAAATAGCAAAGGTGCCGCCAGCTGCCGCCGCCCAGGCACCCTCTCCGCCCAGCTCAGGCGTTGCGTGCCAGCTCCCGCGCAATCCAGTCCTGGCGCAGCGCCTCCATGGCCCGCAGGCACGCATCGCTGAGGGCGCCGCCCTTCTTGCCCTTGGCCTTGAGCCCCGCCGCCGCTCCCATCACGCTGGCCTTGGTGCTGGAGGCGCGGCCGCGCCGCACCACGCCGCGCGACAACTTGCGCATCACCGCCTTGACGCTCAGCAGGTCGATGTCGCCCCCAAAAATGGCGCCCGCGGTCTGCGGGGCGGGGGTGGGGCGGCGGGGCGTTGCTGGCGCCCAACGCCCCGCTCCAAGGTACGACGACCATGCCCCACAGCAACACAGCTTGGCCGCCCAGCCAACCCGAGAAGCGAGCCCCCCACCCACCAGACCAGTCACCAGCTGCTCCCCTACAAACGGCTGCTATCCCATCGCTCCCCATCCCCACTCGGGTCCACTCCACACGCACCCCCCACCCCCACCACCGCCGCGGCACCCCCCCACCCGCCCCACCCACCGACTGCGCCGTCTTCTCCGTCATGTCCAGGTCCACCCGCAGCAGCGCCCGCACCACATGCTCCTTGCTGCACTCCTCCTCGTGCCCCGCCTCGTCATACACGGCCTCCTCCAGGGCCCTGGGGGCAAGGGGGCGGGGCAGGGCAGGGCAGGGCAGGGTGACCGCCGCGCCGACTCGGTGTCGCTTCCCCTGGCAAGAACCAACACCGCCGCCAGCCCCGGCCTCACTTGAAGAACTCCACGCGCTCCTGCAGGAACTGGTCGCGGATGGACTCGGCAAACTCGCCTGCAGGGCGTGGTGCGTGTGCGCATGTGCATGTTTGGTTGTGTGTGTGTGCGCGTGCATGTGTGTGTCGAGTGTGGCACAGGCAGCCAGGCAGGCGGGCAGGCGGGCGTCGTTTGCACCGCCGCCCCTCCCTCCTGGCTGTGGGCCTGCCTGCTGCCCGCCCACCTTGGTTGAACTCTCTGTCCTCCTCGAACACCTTGCGCCACTCCACCGTGTCGCCCTCCTGGTCCTCGTCCATGGCCTGGAGGCAGGCAGGGTGGGTGGGGGCGCTGAGCTGGGGCTGGGCTGTGTAGAGGGCAGGGCGGTCATGTGGCGCCTGTGTGTGGGGTCCGGCCAACGCAGGGCGGCATGCGGCACAGGCGGAGCCACACAGCCGGCTAGGCGACGCTTGCCTGGACAAGCTCGTCGAAGCGCTTGAGGGTCTTGCCCCCCGGCTGCCCCACCTTGAAGTAGGCCAGGAAGGCGGTGCGCAGGTCCTCCTGCGCTCGGGAGGGCAGGCGGCCAGGATGCAGGCCAGGTCGATGCAAGGCAGGCAGGCAGGCAGGCAGGGAGGCAGGGGTGCAAGCACGGTGTGAGCGGGTGCCTGGTCATTGCACAGCATTGGTGCGCTCTGGGCGGGACTGCATCGCATGGGTCGCATGGGCACATGCGCGGCTGAGCTGCCCCGTCCTGCCTTGGGTATGAAGCCCGTGGCCTGCCCCTTGGCCTTGTCTACGGCGGCAAACAGCTCCTCCTGCAGCCGGATCTGGGCCACATACACATCCTCCTTCACCTCGCCCTGCAGGCCAACCACAGCGAGGGGCAGGCAGGCATCGAACCGTGAAGCTTCATCAGGGCGCATGTGTGCCACAGACAGCACGCCCTGGCTGCAGCCCTGGCAGCCGACAGGCAGCACGCCCGGCAAGCCGGGCATCACACGCGGGCCCACACCAGCAGGATGCGCAGGAAGAGCTCGCAGTCGGCATCCCACTGGTACTTGAACAGCCCGTACAGGAAGTTGTAGCCCGCCTGCACGCAGCATGGGGGGGCGGGCTGTGCTGGCGGCGTGGGTGCAGGAGGGCCATGGGAGGCAGCTCGAGCTTGGGAGGCGCCATGTGGCGGCAGCAGGCATGTCGGACCGCGGCCGAGAAGGTGGGCGGCCATGCTGCCCACCTCCACCACCGCGGTGACGATGCCCACTCGCTTCTGCAGCTGCTGGAACAGAAACTCCTGGAGGTCGCACGCCTTGCCCGCCGCCGCCGCTGCAGCCAGCCAGCCAGGCGAGGCAGGCTGTCAAACGGCGGGGGCGATGGGAGCACTACACAGAGGCAGGGCAGCAGAAGCACGGCACCCGCCCCATCCCCCATCGGCAGCAAGCCCAGAGAATCGGCGCTGCCGGGGCGGCCGCCCACCAGGGTCTGCCATGCGCTCCTTCCAAATCTCCTTCACCAGCTTCTCCGTGTCGCGCTTGCTCAGGTGCTTGTTGCGGATCTTGCCGCTGTGCTTGAACAGGCGGGGCACATCCGCGGCCTGCAAGGGCGGCAGGCCGTAGAAGGCCGGCATGGTATCGGGAGCGCTGTGGTGTCATCATTGCTGCCCATGCCGAAAGTCATCCAGACATTGAACATGCATCGCCTGCATCCCAGTCTGTCTGTCTGTCTCCACCCCTCGCCCCAGCCCACCTGCCCCATGCCTATGAGCCACTCCTTCCAGGCCGCCTCCTCCTGGCTGCCCAGCAGCTCCACATACTGCTGCAGTGGGTTCTTGCGCTCCAGCACCGCCTCCTCCTCACGCCGCCGCCGCGCCGCATCGCGCTGCAACGCAAGATGCAAGGGAGGTGGCGCCTCCAGACAGGGAGCGCCATGCCCGCAGAAGCCCCGGCGACAGCATGCTGCGGCCTCACCCGCTGCTCCACCTCCTTGTACCCGTGCACAATCTCCCGCAACTCCACACACTCCTTGCGCAGCTCCCTGGCCTGCACCCCCATGTGGAGTGCAGACGACAATTGTTGGCATGTGCACAGTCAGCAGGTTTAGATGGGGGTGACGAGATGAGAGCCCAGGGTCACACCACCCAACCCGGCCCCCCACAAAAGCCTGCCACCCCAGGGCTTGCCTCCTCCTCCACAACCGCCACCCGCGTCTTGGTCGACATGCGCGCCCACTGCACCGCGCTGCGCAGCTCGTCAAACGTGACGCCCTGCACGTGGCAAACATTAGCAGCAGTGACACGCGCTGCACCCCCACAGGGGCTCAGAAAAGGCTGCTTTCAAGACTCCCAAGTTCCAGCAAACTAGCAGCATTCATGGCTTCCCAGGATCCCAGACAAAGTGGGCTGCCCTCAAGACCACAGCCGAGGGGCAGCCATGCAGCAGCGCGCCTGACGGTGCTGCTGCATGCAGCCGTAGAAGGTGGGGCTGAGCGGCAGGGCCTGGCGGGTGGCTCCCACCAGGAAGTCGACCAGCGCCTCCTGGTTGGCGGCAGGCCTGCCCAGTGCCTGCTCCAGCCACTCGGCGTGCTCATCCTCTGCTGCCTCCAACAGCGCCTCGACATCACCGCTCTGTACAGCCTGCGCCTCAGCAGCACGACGGAGCAGGGGAATGCTTCAGGGCACCATGGCACCGGAGGAAGCAGCTGCCCCCTTGCTTGCCCCTGCCCTGCACTGCCCACCTGCTTGATGGCATCTCGGGTGAGCAGCCCCTGCGCCACAGCCCCCCGCAGGCAGCCCAGTCCCAGCTCCACGTGGTCCCGCAAGTGGCTGCCGCTGTAGGGGGCAGCCGCGGCGGCATCGTCGGTGCCAGATGCGGCAGCAGGCCCATCCCGCTGGCCGTCCAGCACGGCTACGCCGACATCGCTCCTGGGCGCGGCCCCGGGCGCATGCAGCATGCTGCCGGCCAGCAGCAAGGCGAGGTCGTCGGTGGGCCACTGCCTGTGGGCATCCAGGGCGGCCTGGAACTGCACCACGCCTGCAGCAGCCAGCGGAGAGGGTCGTCGCACCAGGAGTGGCGGAGGGGCCGCAGTGCACAGGCGCATCCTGCCGCCACCGTCCCACGACATCCCCACGCCTGCCCACGCCGCCCTCACCTTGCTTGCCCACCAGCTCCAGCAGCACATCCCAGTTCTGCTGCGGCCGCGGCGTGGACACCCGCAGCCGGGCCGCCGCCTCGTCCCGCTCATTCTCCGCAGCCTCCGCCCGGCTCTCCAGCTGCACCACCTCGTCGGCGGTCGACTCCAGGTCTGCCATCTGCAGGCGGCGGGCACAGCAGGGCACGCCAAGTCCAGCCAGGTCATCATCGGGGCAGAAGGCGCAGCCCCGCATCCTCGCGCCCCATGCTGCGACCAGGCCCTGGGCTTGCCTGCTTGTACACCTCCAGCAGTTCCTGCCTCGCCGCATCCAGCGCCTCCCTCAGCACTGCATTCTGCTGCTGCAGCGCCTCGGCATCCTCGCTGCTGATCCCCAAACCTGCGACCAAGAGGGCAGGGGATCGGGGGCACTTTGACATCAGACGATGGCAATGGTCAGATGCGGTCCAGCAGCGCAGCCGCCAGGGCAGCTAGCCAGGCGGAGCGGCCGGCTCACTGGTGCCGCCCGCGGCGTCCTGCAGCTGGCGCATCACGTTGCCCATGGCAATGGAGGCCTTGCGGCTGCCGTGCCGCAGCTCCTCGATCGCCGCCGACGTGCCGCGCTTGCCTGCACCCACACCAAATGCCACGGGAATGTGGCCCCTGACCCACACCCCATGTCCACCCTGTGCTTCTGCATCTGTGTGGCAGTGACAGGCGCACAAGCTGCCTGCCCCACCCGCCCACTCGCCTGACAGCGTGCTGGACCGGGACAGCATGCTGACGGTGGACTCCCTGAACCGCACGCTGCGCTGCGGTAGGAGGCTGCCGTCACGGCTCAGGTGGCTCATGGGCATGTGGCGCCCATCGTCTGCACGGCATGCACGCGGCCGGCGAGAAGCTGGGGCCCCGCTCTGTGTCTCGTGGGGCACACGCCAGCTGGCAGCCATGGCACAGTCCGCGGTGCACCCTACAGGCAGGCAGCCCCAGGCCCACCTCCCCCCGATGGCTCGCCCCGCGGCCCCAGCACCACAGACATGACGTCCACGTGACCGCCGCCGCCTCCCATGCTCAGCGCCGTGGTGAGCTCCGCGCGCAGCCGCGCCAGCTCATCTTGGAGCTCCACCTGCGGTTCAGCAGTGGCGAATGGGGCATGTGCTGGAGAGGCATCGACAGCTGGGGGGGGGTGCCCCGGGAGTGGCACACACCTTTCAGCACAACTGCCTCCCTGCCCCCCTGCCTGCCTCACCTTGTACGCGTCGGCAGCCGCCCGCTCCTGCTCCAGCTGCAACTCTGCCATCTCCAGCCGCACCTCGGCCCGCTCCGCACGGTCCTTGACCACAGCGTACGCAGCATGCACCCGGCTCAGCACGCTGCGCAAACGTGGACGCAGCAGTCGAGCCGTTGGCTCATCACCAACTGGGGTTGTGTGCAAGAGCAGGCAGCTCATCACATGGCGGGATGGGGAGCAGCCTGAGACGTCCCCTGCACCACCCAGCAGTAGCAGGCAACAAGCTGCACTGCTGCCCCGGGAGTTGGCAGCTGGCTGTGCCTGTCAAGCATGGATGCATAGCCTATCCACACGTCTGCCATGAGGCGCCCCCGCTCCTCGCACTGCTGCGTGACCTGCGCCAGCATCGGCATGCCGCAGCAAGGAAGCCTCGTCGGGACTCACCAGCACAACAGCCAGGACCAGCCAGCGCACAGGGCTCGACCACCGTGCAGCTGTCCCCTGGCACGCATGGTCCCTGCTAGCTCCGCCCACCTGCCGCGCCAGCTCGGCGTATGCCTGGCTGTAGATGGCCTTGGCCTTGGCTGCCGCCAGCAGCAGGAAGTCCACCAGCGGCGTGCGCTCGTCCTTGCGGGAGTACGTGGCATTGAAGCGCCGCGTCTCGACCTGCACCACGCCACGCGTGGGAGGGCGCCCAGGTAAGGCTCGGTGCACTGCCCTGCATCGGTGGTGTTACCACCTGGTCTTAACCCTTTGACTACGAGACCAAATTCTCGAAAACTGCAAAACTGCCATGCTGTTTTCGGCCAATTGTGGCCTGCAAACTGCATGGCATGCCACCAAACTTGACATGGCACTTCCCCAGCATGCAAGGCACCCCCAAACCGGGTCCTGCAACTTTTCCCCCTCTCTGAGTGGTTTGGCTCCCCGCCAAACCATGACTGAGCCCCCAGTCGTTCAGGAGGGCAGGCAGGCAGCTCTGGCCAAGCTCAGGAGTGCTGCCGCCCGGTTAGAACTTCCTTATGAGGAGCTGGAGGGGATAGTATTCGACCCAGCCCTTCAGAGCTTGCCTAGCAATAAACAAAAGCGCTACCATGTGTACCATGCCGTGGCGCATGCGGCTGGAGTGGTGAGATGGGGCCCGCAAAACCGCTGGCTGCGTCCCGGTGCAGCCCGGCGCCCTCAAACCAACTCATTTGATGTCCAGGTGGGGAAAGGGAACCGCCTGGACCTAGGGGCGGACTTTGAGGAGGCCGTGCGCCCCAAACCAGCCGGCAGCCACCATCATCCCGGGCTCACCTCCAGCCACTTGCCGAGCACAAACACCTCGCGCGTGCCGGGCGCGTGCCGTGCGCTTCGAAAGGGCTTGGAGACGCCGTTGCCCACGGGGCCGTCGCTTGTGCTGGCTTGCAGGTGCATGAGCTGGCGCTGCAGCATGGTGCTGCTGTCCTCCAGGCCTGCCATGTACGCTGCCAGCGCCGACGGATCTGCAGGCAGCCCGGCCCCAGCGCCAGGCGGACTGCCATGCTGGTGCATCGGGTGGCGTGGGTGTGGCTCCTCCAGCAGCGCGTGCAGCGTCAGGCTGGATAGGAGGCCGCCCTGCACGGCCTGCTGCTGGGATGGTGCGGCTAAACTGTGCGGCCCGGCGTCCTGCACCCGTGGCTCGCCCGCTTGCGAGGGTGGAAGCGCGCCGGCCACCAACTGCCGCAGAGCCATGGCGTCCTGCTCAATCACGGCCAGCTCCGCCGCCCGCTGCTTCTCCCGCTGCTGCTCCGGCGGGCACAGCGTGTTGCTGGGGTTTGGCGGAAGCCTGCCGTCAAAGCGGCCGCCCCGCAAAGGCGCCGAGGCGGCCTCCCTCATTCTGCCTCGCTCCGACGGATCTCTAGCCTAATCAGACCCCTTCCCCGCTCGGCCTGGGCCGCACACGGCGCTCAACAAGGGAGCAAGCGGGACATTGGACCGAATGTGTGCGGGCAGAGTGTCAGCTTCCCTGCAGCCTGGGACCGAGGAGGCGGTGATCCAACAAGCATGAACCAATCGGGGCTGTTTGAAGGGCCAAAGACAACATGAGAGGTTCCCACCGGGCGCCACGTGGCACCAACAAAAATTGGCCACCCCATGCACGTTTTCCTGCGCCACCCAGCCGCACCCTCATCATCACAGCCTTTATTTGACCTCGTGAGCGCCACAGAGCAATCGGCAAGTCGGTATCGCGCCGTGTCCAGAAGCCCGCTCACTCTCAGCGCATACCCACCATGGCAGCCATGGCAACCTCTGTAATGTCAATCAGAGTGTTGGCCAACCGCCCTGCACTGCTGGTTGCGAGGTCTGGTGAGTAGAATGTGGTGCGGTTGTGGTGCCCCCCACCCACTCCACCCCAGCGCCAGCCACAAGTCCCAGTGACACTCAGCCATGCCACTAGCTTGGCGCCTGGCACGCTGGGCGGTTCCTGCCTGGCGCCTCCGGTGGTGCCCGCTGGCTGCCTACAGCGCCCCGCCCTGTATGCCTGCTGCCCGTGCATTGCCCGCCCACTTCCCACTCCTGAACCAGCCAGCCTTCCTTCCCTGCCCCCGCTGCAGCGGCCCGCCGCCCTGCCAGTGCCACAAGCAGGGCCGCCCGCCTGGTGGTGCGCAGCGCTGACGACGCCTCCGCCGAAGCCGCCGGCAGCGCGGTCGCCACGGCGGTGCCCGAGCAGCAGCCAGCCAGCTCCGGCGGCGATGCCCCTATTGCGGCCCAGCCCGAGGCGCTGCCCGAGGTGGAGCTGGAGTATGTGGAGCCCAGCGGCGGGCAGAAGGCGTGGACCAGCACCAAGGTGGCCTTTGCCCTCCCGTGGCGGCGCTTCAAGTCTGGCTCGGCGCTGGTGCTCAAGGTGTCTGGGCAGATCGCAGAGCAGCCGCAGGGCCGCTTCTCCCAGACCGTGTCGCTGCCGGCACTGTGCGACTGCCTGAAGAAGGCGGCGCTGGACCCGCGGGTGGCTGGCGTGGTGGTCAAGATCGAGCCGCTGGCGTGCGGCTGGGGCAAGCTGCAGGTATGTGGCTGGAGCGATGGGGCTACTATTTGCAGCGCAGGGATGGGGCGAGCACGGCAGGGCAGGTAGGAAGCCGAGCAGTCCAACCCCGCCTGCCTCACCACTTTGCCGCTCTCCCTTTGCCTCCGGCCGCTCATGCAGGAGCTGCGCCGTCACGTGGAGTTCTTCCGCAAGAGCGGCAAGTTCAGCATGGCTTATATGGAACGGTGAGGCGGCATGGGTTGCTGTTTTGTTTTTGGTGTTATTTTCACTGCAGCTTCATCCAAGCTCCCACCACCACAGACCCACATCTGTGCTTGGCGCGCCGCCCCCTGCGCCTGCAGGGCGGGAGAGAAGGAGTACTACCTGGCGTCCGCGTTTGAGGAGGTGTACGCGCCCCCCAGCGCATCCCTCTCGCTGCGCGGCATGTCTGTCAGCGGCACCTTCCTGCGCGGCGCGCTGGAGAAGGTGGGCATCGAGCCCGAGGTGCGGCGCATCGGCGTGTACAAGTCGGCGGGGGACCAGCTGCTGAGGACGGACATGAGCGAGGCGCAGCGGGAGCAGCTGAGCGCGCTGCTGGACGACATCTTCGGCGGCTTTGTGGCTGACGTGGCGGCCAGCCGGGGCAAGACGGTCGAGGAGGTGGGCGGACAGGGATGCATTTTAAGGGGGGCCACGATGGGCCGGGCCGGCAGCGTGCACCAGCAAGCACAGGCTTGCACTGCCGCCGCACTGCGCTTGCACGCGTCGCGCCGGCCTGCAGGGTGCTTGCGGGGTGCGCCGCTCACCCCCTCTTCTTGTTCTTGCTGTCGGCCTGCTCTGTCCTGGCAGGTGGAGGAGTTCCTGGACTCGGGCGTGTATGACATGGAGGAGTTTAAGCGGCGCGGCTTTGTGACCGACCTGCTGTACGAGTGCGAGCTGGAGGAGGTGCTCAAGGCGCGCACTGGTGAGCGGTTGGGGGCGTACACAGGTGCAGCCGTGAGGGGTTGAGGAGCGCGCAGATGGGCGGCGAGGCTGCGGGGCCGAGAGACTGAGGCCCAGCACGTGATTGTGTCTAAGCTGGGGATGCTGTGGCTGCACCGCAGGGGGCAAGGAGGACGAGCTGCCCAAGGTCGGGTACCGCAAGTACAAGAGCGTGCGCCCCTCCACCTTTGGCTTCACCGGAAAGAAGGCCGTGGCCGTCATCAGGGCCTCCGGTGAGCCGCATTCTGTGGGGTGGCAGCGCCAGCGTGCATCACTTCATGCGCCGGGCGTTGTTGCGTGTTTGGGGGCGGTTTGGAACTCAGCACCCGTGCCCGTGCCCCCTGCGCAGGCGCCATCACCGGCACCAGCAACGGCACGGGCGGCAGAATCACCAGCGGCGAGGTCATCGCGCAGCTGCGGTCGGTCAAGAAGAACAAGAATGTGGCGGCGGTGGTGCTGCGCATCGACTCCCCCGGCGGCGAGGCGCTCGCCTCCGACCTGATGTGGCGGGAGGTCCGGGAGCTGGCAAAGGTGGGAGGCAGGTGCAGGCAGGTGGCCAGGCTGTGCCCAGCAGGGAGCAGGTCCAGCGCGGCCCGCAAGCGCTGTGCAGGCGCGGCCGTGCTCTGCGCCTGCTCACGCCGTCGTGCCGCTTGGGCCCCCTCCCCCCGGTGCAGACCAAGCCGGTGGTTGCCAGCATGGCCGACGTGGCGGCCTCTGGCGGCTACTACATGGCGATGGCGTGCAGCAAGATCGTGGCAGAGCCGCTCACAATCACCGGAAGCATTGGCGTCGTGACAGGTCGGCGGCCCTGCACCCCGCCGCCTGCTGCTTGCCCGGGATGGCGCGAGGTGGCGTTGGACGGCGGGCGTGCGTGCGCCTGCATCGCGCCTCACCCTGCATCCATTGCTGCCCGCTGTGCGCAGGCAAGTTCAACCTCAAGTCGCTCTACGAGAAGCTGGGCTATGCCAAGGAGAACATCAGCAAGTGAGTGCGCAGCTGACGCCTGCCTGCCCAGTGGTGCCGCTGCTGGACCCAGCCCTTCTGCCGTGCGCCGCGTGCCTCACTCTTGCGGGCCTCCCCCCCCCCCCCCAC